AAAATGAATAGATTTGAAGAAGCATTGGAGTATTATGATTCAGCTATTCAGAAAAACCCAGAAAATGCAGATTATTATTATGGCAAAGGTATTAAGTTCATGAATAAACTATAGCTGATAATCTAGAGAATTTGAATAGATTTGAAGAAGCATTGGAGTATTATGATTCAGCTATTCAGAAAAACCCAGAAGATGCAAATTTTTATAATGGCAAAGGTATAATTTAATGATGTATATATTTGTTTAGCGATTGCATTAAAAAAAATGAATAGATTTGAAGAAGCATTAGAGTATTATGATTCAGCTATTCAAAAAACCCCATAAGATGCAGATTATTATAATGGCAAAGGTATTAAATAAAGATGTATATTTTTGTTTAGCGATTGCGTTAAAAAATATGAATAGATTTGAAGAAGCATTATAGTATTATGATTAAGCTATTCAAAAAAACCCAGAACAAGCAGAGTATTATTATGGCAAAGGTATAAATTAATGATGTAAATTTTTGTTTAGCGATTGCGTTAGAGAATATGAATAGATTTTAAGAAGCATTAAAGTATTATGATTAAGCTATTCAAAAAAACCCAGAACAAGCAGAGTATTATTATGGCAAAGGTATAATTTAATGATGTATATTTTTGTTTAGCGATTGCGTTAAAAAATATGAATAGATTTGAAGAAGCATTATAGTATTATGATTAAGCTATTCAAAAAAACCCAGAACAAGCAGAGTATTATTATGGCAAAGGTATAAATTAATGATGTATATTTTTGTTTAGCGATTGCCTTATATAAAATGAATAGATTTGAAGAATCATCAGATTATTATGATTTAGCCATACATAAAAACCCAGAATAATCCAACTATTACTGTGGCAAAGGTATAAACTAGGATGACTTTTGCTTTAGCTATTACTTTAAAGAAAATGAATAGATTTGAAGAATCATTAAAATATTATGATTTTGCCATACAAAAAAACTCAGAATTAGCAAATTTTTACTGTGGCAAAGGTGTAATTTAATGATCAATATTTTCTTAGCGATTGCCTTACGTTTAATGAATAGATATGAAGAAGCGTTGCAGCATTTTGATTATGCTATTTAGAAAAATCCAGAAGAAGCAGAATATTATTATGGCAAAGGTATAAAATATTGATATACATTTTCTTAGCGATCACCTTATGGTTCATGAATTGTTATGTAGAAGCATAAAAATATATAGAATTGGCAATTCAGAAAAACCCTGAATAAGCAGACTATTTTTATGACAATGGTATAATTTATAATATTATCTAAGCAAATATTTTACAATAAAATTATAGAATTGATGAATCATTGAAATATTATGATTTATCTTTTCAGAGAAACCCATAAGATACAGATTATTATTATGGGAAATGTATAATTTAATGATGCATATTTTTTTAGCGATTGTCTTAAAGTCAATGAATAGATTTGAAGAAGCATTAAAGTATTATGATTTAGCTATTCAGAAAAACCCAGAACAAGCAGATTATTATTATGGCAAAGGTATAATTAAATGATGGATATTTTTTGTTAGCAATTGCCTTATATAAAATGAATAGATTTATAGAAGCATTAGAGTATTATGATTTAGCTATTCAGAAAAACCCAGAACAAGCAGAGTATTATAATGGCAAAGGTATAATTAAATGATGGATATTTTTTTTAGCAATTGCCTTATATAAAATGAATAGATTTATAGAAGCATTAGAGTATTATAATTTAGCTATTAATAAAAACCCATAAAAAGCCAATTATTATAAATGCAAAGGTGTAATTTAATGATTTATATTTTTTTTAGCGATTGCCTTAAAGTCAATGAATAGATTTGAAGAAGCATTAGAGTATTATGATTACGCTATTCAAAAAAACCCAGAAAATGCAGATTATTATTATGGCAAAGGTATTAACTAATTATATAAATATTTTGTTTAGCGATTGCATTAAGGTCAATGAATAGATTTATAGAAGCATTAAAGTATTTTGATTTAGCTATTCAGAAAAACCCAGAAAAAGCAGAGTATTATAATAGCAAAGGTATAATTTAATGATATATATTTTTTTTTAGCGATTGCGTTAGAGAATATGAATAGATTTGAAGAAGCATTAGAGTATTATGATTCCGCTATTCAAAAAAACCCAGAAAATGCAGATTATTAATATGGCAAAGGTATAAATTAATGATGTATATATTATGTTAGCAATTGCCTTATAAAAAATGAATGGATTTGAAGAAGCATTAGAGTATTATGATTAAGCTATTTTAAAAAACCCAGAAGATGCAGATTATTATAATGGCAAAGGTATAATTTAATGATATATATACTTTTTTTAGCGATTGCCTTAAGGTTGATGGAAAGATTTGAAGAAGCATTAGAGTATTATGATTAAGCTATTATAAAAAACCCAGAAGATGCAGATTATTATAATGGTAAAGGTATAATTTAATGATATATATATTTTTTTTAGCGATTGCCTTAAGGTTGATGGAAAGATTTGAAGAAGCATTAGAGTATTATGATTCAGCTATTCAGAAAAACCCAGAAAATGCAAATTTTTATAATGGCAAAGGTATAATTTAATGATGTATATATTTGTTTAGCGATTGCATTAAAAAAAATGAATAGATTTGAAGAAGCATTGGAGTATTATGATTCAGCTATTCAGAAAAACCCAGAAAATGCAAATTTTTATAATGGCAAAGGTATAATTTAATGATGTATATATTTGTTTAGCGATTGCATTAAAAAAAATGAATAGATTTGAAGAAGCATTGGAGTATTATGATTCAGCTATTCAGAAAAACCCAGAAAATGCAAATTTTTATAATGGCAAAGGTATAATTTAATGATGTATATATTTGTTTAGCGATTGCATTAAAAAAAATGAATAGATTTGAAGAAGCATTGGAGTATTATGATTCAGCTATTCAGAAAAACCCAGAAAATGCAAATTTTTATAATGGCAAAGGTATAATTTAATGATGTATATATTTGTTTAGCGATTGCATTAAAAAAAATGAATAGATTTGAAGAAGCATTGGAGTATTATGATTCAGCTATTCAGAAAAACCCAGAAAATGCAAATTTTTATAATGGCAAAGGTATAATTTAATGATGTATATATTTGTTTAGCGATTGCATTAAAAAAAATGAATAGATTTGAAGAAGCATTGGAGTATTATGATTCAGCTATTCAGAAAAACCCAGAAAATGCAAATTTTTATAATGGCAAAGGTATAATTTAATGATGTATATATTTGTTTAGCGATTGCATTAAAAAAAATGAATAGATTTGAAGAAGCATTGGAGTATTATGATTCAGCTATTCAGAAAAACCCAGAAAATGCAAATTTTTATAATGGCAAAGGTATAATTTAATGATGTATATATTTGTTTAGCGATTGCATTAAAAAAAATGAATAGATTTGAAGAAGCATTGGAGTATTATGATTCAGCTATTCAGAAAAACCCAGAAAATGCAAATTTTTATAATGGCAAAGGTATAATTTAATGATGTATATATTTGTTTAGCGATTGCATTAAAAAAAATGAATAGATTTGAAGAAGCATTGGAGTATTATGATTCAGCTATTCAGAAAAACCCAGAAAATGCAGATTTTTATAATGGCAAAGGTATAATTTAATGATGTATATATTTGTTTAGCGATTGCATTAAAAAAAATGAATAGATTTGAAGAAGCATTGGAGTATTATGATTCAGCTATTCAGAAAAACCCAGAAAATGCAGATTATTATTATGGCAAAGGTATAATTTAATGATGTATATTTTTGTTTAGCGATTGCATTAATATAAATGAATAGATTTGAAGAAGCATTGGAGTATTATGATTCAGCTATTCAGAAAAATCCCGAAAATGCAGATTATTATAAATGTAAAGGTATAAATTAATTATGTATATTTTCTTAGCGATTGCCTTAGAATAGATAAATAGATTTGATGAAGCATTAGAATATTAAGATTTAGCAATGCAGAAAACCCATAAAAATAAAAAGCAGATTAATATTAAAGCAAAGGTACATTTAACAATATTCCTCTTCTAGTTTCATCTGAAACAGCATTTTTAAAATTAATTATAAGTTTCCAATTATGAATCAACTTATTGAAGATGATTACATTTGAATTTAAACTATTTATTTGTTTTTTAGATTATAATTTTAAATCAACCGAAAAACTTAATTTACTGAAAATTAATTGATGTGTCATTTGTTTTTGTTTTATTTTTTTTTATTTTTGTCCTATGTTATAGCTTAATGGTGAAACTCTTGTAAAAATTTACTTAAAGAATGACAGTTACTTTAATAACATTGCTTCCACACTATTTCAGTTACCATTCTCAATTGTAACATGTGTACTTCATCATCAGTCTTACAATTGTTTTGTAATTATTAGAAATATGACAAGTCTATAAATGGAAAATATTTGTACTTAATGAACATGGAATTTGTGTGAGTGAAAGGTGTACACAGTAGGCCTTGATTCAACTAAATGACAAGAATAAGTATTGTTTTTTGGATATTTTTAATAGTGTCTAAAATCTAGTATGACCCTTCTAATAGAGATTGTCATGTCTCCTGGGAAATTTTGGTTATAAAAAATAATTAAGGGAAAAAAATATTAATACCCCCCCCCTTTGAAAATGTGAAGATGTACTTTTGG